TGTGTATATGCGTTGGTGTTGGCCCTGTGCATCCTAACTATGTAGAGGCCGGGTGGTGTTTGCACATTATGTTTGTATCCTCTTAATGCTTCATTTAAAAATATAAAATCCACTATTTATCAAAAATTCTACTTTACCGATTCTTTTAGGGAAATCACTGTTCTGCGGCTAGTAGGTCCCCTTTCTGAAAAAAATTGGTTTCACAAATTTCCAAACTTACGGAACATGAAATGAAAAACTTGTACAACGAAGTGCACACGGTTCAAATACATAACAAATTTAACGTTCTCGAACATAAACCATTCGGCATGGATGTTGAGCGATCTTAAAAACAAGGAACATAAACCATTCAAATTCAAATACAACATATGTTCCAAAGGAACTAAGAATTCATATAAACATGATTACAGCACAAAAATCAAGTGCTTCAGAGGCGTCAATGATGCTCAATAGGATCTTTTTGAAGTCGGTTGAAGCTTGACGGTTCTCGATCCCTTGGTGTGCTTGGAGGAAGACATCAATCCTGTTAGGGTTATGCTTCGGCTCAACTGGTTGGCCATTGAACAGATATCAAAAGTTCTCCAAGTCCTCCCTCTTATCCTCGATGATCATATTGTTCAAGATAATACATGTTGTCATGATCTTTCATAGGGACTCGAGCTTCCAATACTCAGCAAGGCCACATACAATCACAAATTATCATTGACGCACACCAAAAGGTCTCTCGGCATCCTTTCTAGCAGATCCAGTGAGATCTCTTGTTACCTTTTGGTTTGTGGATAGTCTTAACAATTATGGCCCATGGAGGATAGATGCCACCGATAAGGTAGTAGCCCATGTTGTACTCATTGCCATTGACAACATAGTTGAAAGGTGAACTGTCACCAACAACAAACATTGCAAAAAGAGGAGCTTGATGGAGAACATTGATATCATTGTGAGAGCGAGACATATCAAAGTATGTGTGACAAACCATGGATCATGTCTCTCCACAACCTTTGCAATGGCCTTGAGGAGAGACCGATGCATCCTGATTGGCGCGGAAAATAGCATCGAGAATAAACTGCATCCGGCGAAAAGTAATCTCTGACAAGACCATCATGACCCATGACAGGGCCTCGAAGAAACAACCATCAACCTAATCGAGAAAGCACGTCGTGGGCTCCTGAAATCCTCCTCCGTTGCAGCCACGGCACCTGCAAACTCAAAATCATCTTCTTCCTCATCCGACGAAGAATCGTCGAAAATCATCTCCCATAACCGCTTCATCTAAACATGGATAAATGCAATGGATGTCTTTTGATGAAATATGAAAAAAAAAATGTACAGGGGGATGTTGACAAACACCTTTCGTGCGGCAGTGGCCGTAGCGACGATGTTTGGCGAAGGAGCTTGGGCTTGGGCCCCAAGGTGGCAGAGGAGACCGCCTATACTACGTAGCTATCCGCACACGCGGTTCATGAGTGAAGAGGCAATGAACAATGCCGGGAATGAAGGCAGCGGCGGCGACCACAACGAGCAGCTTCTTCTTCGGATCGACGGCGTCCTCCGGCATTAGCTTGGGTTGAACCTTCCTATGACATCTCCGCAGTCAGGGCGCTTCGATTCATGAAGGAATCCGACTTCGGCGGGCAACCTTACAGAGTTGTAGCGATAGCGGGCTCACCTGCGGTGGAACTGACGATTCTGACGGCCTCGGCTCCATGGAATCTGTGGGTGAGACCGGCGGGACTGCGGGTTGGCATTGACGGTTGATTCCGCCAGCGTGGAGTCGACGACACTGACTATGACGACGACAGTGAGGGTTGAGTTGACGCAACGAGGTGGGTACGGCGGCCGAGCAAATATACTCATCTGCCCCGCATCCCGATTATATTTGGCTGGTGAGGCTGCTTTTTAGGGAGCGAAAAAGCTATATTTTTAAGGATTATATGCTTTAGGGGATGTGCTAGCTAATGCTTAACTCCATAAAACACACATTTGCTCCTCAAATATAGACTTTAGAGGATTTGTTAAAGATGCCCTTAGTAACTCATAATATAACATCTACTCCCTCTATCAAAATCTAACACGCTTTGATACAAATGGAGTATCAAAAGTCTTATATTTTGATACAAATGGAGTACTTACAAAAAAACTCATAATGTGACATAAAAAAACTCATAATATAACATCAAAGGCATGCATACAGTAAGTTTGGTAACTACTCCTACTAGTAGAATGTCAGTGTCATCTTGTAAGGAAATCAATCAATGGCCAACAATGAAACAATTATCGATACTACTACTAGCGGAATGTCGCGTTAATTCGTCAACTGTGCGACGCCTTGATCTGGACCACGGATGGTTTTCTTGATCCAACGGCTAGGAGCATCCAAGGCAGCCAGCTCCCTCCAAATACAAAAGATTCTGGCCTTCCACAAGTACATATAGGCACTAGCCATACTAGCGTCCATCCTCAGTCTCACACTCTTTGGCAGTCCCGTCGAGTCGTGTCGTCCACATCACAATGTCACCCTTGTACTGCCACGGGAAACCAAGGCCTCTCCTCCTCCTCCTCCTCCTCGCGGTCACCCTCACACTACTCGCCGCCGCAGCCACGGCCGAGGATGTCTCCTCCGGCACGGCCCCCTTCTACCCCTCCGCGGAGGCGGCCGCGGCGGCGCACTGCGAAGGCACGCTGTACCCGGAGCTGTGCCTGTCCACGCTCGCCGACATCCCGGACCTCCACAAGAAGCCGCTCCCGGACGTGATCTGCGCGGCCGTCAACCGCACCGAGACCGAGGTGACCACCATGTCCGCCAACTGCTCCGCCTACCTTCACGGGAGGTCCCTCACGTCGCGCGACCACCTCGCCGTCATGGACTGCATGGAGCTCCTCGACACCACCATGGACGAGCTGGTGGCCACCACGGCCGACCTGCAGTCGCCGTCCGCGGCCAGGCGGCCGACCATGGAGCACGCCGTGACGGTGCTCTCGGCGGCCATCACCAACCAGCAGACCTGCCTGGAGGGCTTCTCGTACCAGAAGGGCGGCGAGGTGCGGCGCTACATGGAGCCCGGCATCCGGCACATCGCCAAGATGGTCAGCAACTCGCTGGCCATGGCCAAGAAGATGCCCGGTGCCGGGGCTGGCGGCTCTAAGCCTTCACCGTCGACGGAGGAAACGGAAAGCGTCGCGGCGCGGCAGCCGTTCACGGGGTACGGGCAGGTGGTGAAGGGCGGGTTCCCGCGGTGGGTGAGGCCCGGGGACCGGCGGCTGCTGCAGGCGCCGGCGTCGGGCATCCAGGCGAACGCGGTGGTGGCCAAGGACGGGAGCGGGGGGTTCACGACGGTGTCGGCCGCGGTGGCGGCGGCGCCGGCCAACTCGAAGAGCAGGTACGTGATCTACATCAAGGCCGGGGCGTACATGGAGAACGTGGAGGTGGGGAAGAGCCACAAGAACCTCATGTTCATGGGCGACGGCATGGGCAAGACGGTGATCAAGGCCAGCCTCAACGTCGTCGACGGCTCCACCACCTTCCGCTCCGCCACAGTCGGTGAGTGAAGTGATACTGCATTGCACCGAATGAATGATTAACATGCTAAATTACTATTACTATTACTATTACCGTTCATGGCAAACTCCTCCGTCCGTGCACTAGCTAGCTAGCAGAGACGTTGTCAGTCTGATCGATCCATTACTCATACCCGGGGGGCGTGTCAAGTCATGCGTGTCTATCCAAGAGCTAAATGCTGGGCTGCCGCTGTAGGAATTTACGCACACCAACTGCACCGCACGTGGTCCGGTCCTGTATAATGGTACAGCGTCGAACGCATACACTGTTACGTGTTTGTCTATAATGGCGTTCCGATCGATCGAATGGGTTGGCTTTTAAACTGAGATCCGGTGAGAGAGATCTGCCTTCACCGTTTTTTTTTTTTTTTGAGAATAATCTGCCTTCACCGTCGGCAGTGCACTCTCTTGTGCATGCATGCATGCATGCGCTCTTCCTATAGCTAGTGGCCAATGGACCCGTGCGTTGCAGATCAGGCGGCCGGCAATGACTGCTGGGTCGGTAGATAAGATCAAAGCTAGCTAGCTGGGCCTGCACCTCTAGCTAGCTCCAAGTGACTATTTAGTGGCATTGATGTGCGTACAGTGCGTCCGTGATCCATGTCGGTGGAACCATAACTTGCCTCCTTGTATGCGTCGCGTCGGTGCCTGCATGCAGTCAGTGCAGGGCACACTACTAGCTACTCCGGTCCTGGAGTACGACCACAATTAAGCCACATCCCACAGACCCACAATTAAGCGGGTAGCTTCTGCGCGCAGTGGCCGGTGGTCAGGGCCAAGAGCACCAATACACGAGTAGAGTTACCCGCTGGTACACGAGCAGAGCAAATGGAGCATGCGCGATGCTTGGTCTCGTCTCATTTCGGTGGTACGTACGTAGTGGCTGTACATGAGCGGTAGGCCGGTAGGGGGGGCTGGAATTAAAACGTGCATGCATGCATACCGGAGGAACGAGTCGTGCAGAACAGCAAGCCCACATGCATGCACTCCCCGCTAGCAAGCTCCGCTAGGGAGGGACACCACCACAAATTCAGGAATTCAATCATGTACTGTGACGGAGATCTATCCATACCATCCATGCATCTAGCCAGTAGCTAGTACTAGTAGTACTATCTCACTAGCTGTCCGGCCAGTACGTACTGTACGTATAATTGCTAGCACATGGCTGCTTGTACAAATGGACTGCACATAGCCAGTAGCTGCAACCACCTCCAACCAATCAACCGCGCATTATAGTAGCATCATTTAATTAATTAACCCGGCCCCGTATATGTGCCCTAGCTATTTTCCTTTTGAAGTCGTGTTCCTGAGGGCTTTGAACCATTAAAAAGGTCAAAAGAGAATGCTCGGTTAATTTGTGAAACCCAGGCAAAAATAGTTACTAGGGAGTAGTACAATACATCTGCCAAACGCGTCAAGAATCGGGCATGCATCTATGTCGTGGTAACAAGAAGGGAGTGACGCGTCGGAAACCTAGCAATAGCACCCTGGTAACCGGATGCGCCCGTGATTGCGCTACTGCTTGTTAATTAGTAGCAGGCTGCAGCAAGGCAACAAGGCCAAGATCACAAGAGCATGTCATATGTAGGATCGAATCCGACTAACAGCGGCGGCAGGCGGCAAACGCACGCCCCTGCGACTGTTCCAAACGTACCCCGCCAAGCCAAGGATATATTTATCAATCATACGTACGTACGTTTCCGATCAGCGCCAAGAGCTCAAGCTGCTGCTGTTCCCTTTGTTCCGATCTGCACCGCGCACTGCACACTGCACACTGCACACTGCACAGTATATGAAGTCGGTGTCAATTTGTCGCTGTCGTCGTCGGTGGAACAACAGGGTAGGACGAGCGCGGCGGTGACCACACGGGCGGCCGGGCGGGCCTCGCCGTGATTGTTGCGTTGCGCGTGGCCGCTCACAGGCTGCATGGCATGCATGTGCATGTGAGGCGACGCTCTCCATGCAGCTAGCGTCGGTTCATCCATCCCATTCGCCCGTTCTGGCAGGACGTGGACGTGCATGGCTGGCCCAAAAACACAGTTAAGCTGAGGAAAGAGACAGCCTGTTCATTCGTTGTGGTTTTTGCGTGTGAAAAATCTAAATGCACCGGAAGAAGAAGGTTGCGTATATGATACTAGTCTATGATAGTACCCAGTCAAGATGGTACACTAAGCATTGCCACTTAAAAATTGGTGTAATGCAGTTCAACAAGAATTGTTTTTCAGAACGTTCATATTCTAATTAATGATATAAATTGAAACTAAAAATACTTATGATTCATTGTATACTATATAGTTGGAAATATATAGTATTTGAAGTAGCATAATAGAACCATATGTGGTTGCATCTTGAGGTAGGGTTTTCCACATGCATATGTTGGAGTCGACCTTTTCACGGCATAGGTAATAACTAATGTCCATGTTGCATTCGGTAATGTTGCAGCTGTGGTGGGCAGCAACTTCCTGGCCCGCGACCTCACCATCGAGAACGCGGCCGGCCCGTCCAAGCACCAGGCGGTGGCGCTCCGCGTCGGCGCCGACCTCTCGGCGTTCTACCGCTGCAGCTTCGTGGGCTACCAGGACACCCTCTACGTGCACTCGCTCCGGCAGTTCTTCCGCGAGTGCGACATCTACGGCACCATCGACTTCGTCTTCGGCAACTCCGCCGCCGTGCTCCAGAGCTGCAACCTCTACGCGCGCCGGCCCCTCCCTAACCAGAGCAACATCTACACGGCGCAGGGCCGGACGGACCCCAACCAGAACACCGGCATCTCCGTCCAGAAGAGCAAGGTGGCCGCCGCCTCCGACCTCGCCGCCGTGCAGTCCAGCTTCAAGACCTACCTGGGCCGGCCGTGGAAGCAGTACTCGCGCACCGTCTTCATCCAGTCGGAGCTCGACAGCGTCGTCGACCCCGCCGGCTGGCTCGCGTGGGACGGCACCTTCGCGCTCGACACGCTATACTACGCCGAGTACCAGAACACGGGGCCCGGCGCCGGCACGTCCGGCCGGGTGTCGTGGATGGGGTACCGTGGCATCATTAGCGCGTCTGAGGCCAGCACCTTCACGGTGGGGTCCTTCATCGACGGCGACGTCTGGCTCGCCGGCACGTCCATCCCATTCTCCGGCGGGTTGTGACCGACCAATTCTATCACAAAGCACCCAGTCTTGTACGTGTTCGAATACATCGAATTATTACCCCAGTGGAGGGACGCCTGCCTGATTCTTCTATTAGTTTTGTGGCATTTTTTCACCGCAATAAGTTTTGTGGCTTATGTGTTTGGTTATTGTTTATGTGGTTTGGTTAACTAGCCAAGTGCCTCGGGCAATTGTGCGGGAAATGTCACCCTTCTGTTTATTTTAGTTTTGACACGTATAAATGTATACTATTGTGCTATCTAAGAAATAATATATTCAAAATGTATATTACTGGGGCTTCACAATATTTTTGGGCGGATTGGGGCTCAGCTTAAGCAGATATTTTGGTACAGCTCTTCCAGTATCAAATTTTTATCGGAAAAAGGGGCTTGTGTTGGAGATACTCTTATATTTAAAGTTCTTTGCAACTAGCACAACACAACGCACCTTTAACGACACATATCTCTTGTGGTTCTGGCTGTACTATACGTTTGCCCGAATCAGGACAGCATCACGGCTATATTTGACCTCCGCTTGTGATAGAACACATCACTGACAATTTTTTTGACATCACAGACATGCTATGGTTCACCACAATGCCCGAACTTATTGAACATATATGCATGTTGTTAGAATCACGTCCATCCGTCGAAGAGGAGTAATCACACAAGCACAAGAAACAATACCCAGATTTTTTAACGAGGCTTATCCCCGGGGCATGATTACACGTTTCTCTCCATGTACTAAGCTCAGTGAGGCCATCAGACAGGTTTTCGATCGCTGCCCCGTGACCGGTCCGGTCACCCCTGCCACGAGTACCCGGTCCGTTCCTCTCGTGATATTTGTCCAACCTATCAGTTTATGTCTAGTCTATTTGACTACCTATGATGCCCTTATATAATAAGCCCGGTTACACATGCTCTACACTAACAGTTAATCCTTCGCTTATTACAAGTCCAACTGTAGCACAACTCATGCACATAATATTTTACACATATTTGAACACATGTTATACAACAAACAATAAGCAGCACAACTCTTTCACATGTAAACTCTAATCACGACTATCGAGGGTAGCTCACGGACAACACAAACTCTTCTTCTCTACTAGATTGCCTACTCATGTTCTCCAAGCTTGTCCTTCTTATAAGCGATGTATATCTTGTTGCCGAATAACTCCTATCATTTAATTTGTTTCTGCTTGAAAATCGTCCCTATGACGATCATGCTCCTCGAGTTGTTGAAAGGATTCTAGTGTCATCTCCACTGACTTATGGTTGGTCATGCCTTTACTCTTAGCTTTGTACATGACACAACTAGAGCGGCTACTTCTTCAACTTGGCTACCTTCCTCCTCCCTGACTTGTGAATCCAATTTCTCTACCAATTTATCTTCTGCATGTAGTTCAATGAACTGTGCAGCAAGCCCATCACCTTTAGAAGATTTGTACATAATTGGCATTTGCCTTGTAAGCAACTCAATAAGGATTACTCCAAAACTATAAACATCACTTTTTTCTGTTAGCCGACCATGGTAAAAGTATGTGGGATCTAAATATCCTAAAGTGCCTTGCACCGTGGATGTTATCCATGTGTGGTCCTTGGGAGTGTGCCTTGAAGCTCCAAAGTCAGACACCTTTGTTGTCAACGCATCATCAAGAAGTATATTAGTAGACTTGATATCTCTATGTATTACGGGGACAGAAATACTAGAGTGAAGGTAAGCAAGAGCTTTGGCAATTTCTGTTGCAATCCTTAATATGTCTTGCCAACGTATTGATCTTAGTGGTTTCTTGTGAAGATAACCACATAGGGTTCCATTGGAAATGAACTCATAAGCCAACAAAGGAACTTCTGTCTCAAGGCAACATCCAAAAAGCTTTACGATGTTCCTATGATTGATCTGTGAGAGTATGGAAACTTCATTTATAAACTCGTTAATCTCTCTCTTGACCACAATATTTGACTTTTTGATGGCAACAACATGCAAACCTGACAAAATTCCTTTGTACACAGTACCATGACCTCCACCACCAAGCTTACGAGTTGGATGAAAGTTGTTTGTGGCCTTTTGCAGTTCTCTTAGAGGGATGATCATTCTCTCTGCAATGTCTGACCTATGTGATACCAATTGTTGCAACAGTTGTCCACGATTTTGATTGAAGAATTTCTGTCTCAACTTTTTGCTTTGATGCTTAAACTTGTGGATTATTATCTTTGAGCCGAGAAATAAATAAAAGTAGAATAGTTGGGCCACTAGAAACTGATAGACCAATGATTAAACCTGCAAACAAAAAGATTGGTGGAGCGTGAGTTTAGGGTTTGGGATGCCATAACTCAAATAGGCGAGGGAAGAGATACGAGGTTGATTTTAGGGGTTGAAGTCTTAGTAATGGGAGAGATACCAGCTGTGGGACCGGTAGACCTATAATCAATTGTTCATACTAGATTCAGATTCCTAAAAGTTTGAAGGATTGAGAAAAAAAATGATCGCATATTGAAGTAACATTTACTTTGGGTGGGTGGGCAGCCCAACAGATTCGTTGGTTTTTCTAGCCAGTCCCCCGCACTCGCTTATCTCAAGATTTCCTCCATTGCCTCAAAAAATAGAAAGATTTGGAAGAACCCTAGGCATACGACACGGCGAACGCAAACCATGGTCTAAGATTCGATCGCTCTACCAAGTGTCCCATGGCTGGACTGCGGCAGGGACATATAGTGACATACCCGCTTGGCGTGGACAAAACGCCGACGAGTGGTTCGGCACAACAGTTTTCTCAAGAAACGCACCAGCGATCACGGCAGCCTTGCGAGCTACTATGTTAGTTTGAATGTACTCTCAGCGCCACACCTGAGTGTCGCAAGCAAGTACACTTGGTACTTAAAACACAGGAGCTTGGTTTATAAAATATTTGTAACATAGCCTACTATTTCTATTTTTCCTATATATTAGATGCAAAAGAATCAGCCATGAAATCGGTTTCCGAGGGGGAAAAATTGTCCACAACATTGACCCTTGGATGATCTGATACCAAATGCAGACTAAGGCTCCTAATTCACACCTTCCACACAAAATGATTTGGGGTCCTACCTTGTACCTTTCCATATGCAACCCCTCCAAAGCAAATAACACAAGTAAATAAGTAACATATCCGGAGATAAATCAACAGCATGACGACATTTCACACAGCCGAACTTCAGCATCTACTGTGTCAGGGTTCAATGCCACCATGCAAATCATACAGGACAGAACACACTCCATATCACCTTTAACCTAACAAGACATCCAAAGGCCTCCTAATTTTTCAGTGTATTAACAGAAAACTGAGAAATTATCACTGGAGCTGAAGTGTTCCACAAATTGTATGATGTAACTTGTCAACATAAGCCATCTTGCAACTCCCTACTAAGTTACTATACATATGTCCGATTTAAATATGAACTGGCACTTTTTGGAAATGACCGAGAGCACTGAGGTGCAGAATAAATGTAAAGGACAAAGTTGAAGTCTACAAGGTTGGTATTGTGTTATAAAAAAAATGAAAGCTGGATATAGTTCAAGAGAGAATATGGTCAACAACAGCACGATACTAGCTCCATACCGGCATTTAGATCTTCAGATTTGACAATGTCAAATTTAAGGATGGACACACAAAGAATGACCGAACCCACATATTATTGTCCTGGTTGCCGACTAATACTGTGGAACCGCTTACGCATGATTGTCCCGCACTCCCCAACAGCCGGTCCTCTTGCCGCAGCATTACACAGTTTCAATATGCTTATCGGCGTATCACGTAGTAGTTGTCGGCTTGTCCTAGCAAATCGAAGCTGTTACCGACTTCAGGACTACCCCACAGTTTCAGTATGCTTATTGGCGAATATTTTTTCCAAGGCACACATTCTTCCAACCGCACGATGAATGTTCTGTAGGCGCCCTTCCAACACGAACCCTGCAAGATGTATAAACATTCATCCATATTCATCTCCCCGGCGTGGCAGCGCACACGACGGCCAAATTGACAACATGTATGAGCTTGACATTCTAATATGGAAAATGGCTCATTCTAATAGTCCCGTGTGTAACAGAGCAGTCGCAGCAAACCAATGGAGTTCGGCTAGGTCCGACAATACCCCACTTAGTTTACTCTGCCGTTTTGCTCCTCTATTTTTAGCCTTAGAGAGACCCTAAAGAAAACAATATACTATATGTATTAACCAGGGCAAAATTTGAGTTTAAGTTATTACAGGCTTTAAACAGAAAATAAACCCAAATTCCATGAGCCGAAAGAAGAAGAAAAAGGAAAACAGTTTCTCATAACTTCCCTGGCCAGAGCCTATTTTCACCGCAATCTGTTATTACATCAATACTGTACGAGGTTTGGTACGAGAGTTTGGATCTAAGATTGGATGCTAATGAAGACCCTATACATCCCTTTATATAGGCAGTATAGGTCTAGGGTTTACATGACGGTGGTGGATGCGATCTAGGGCATCGCCGCCCTCATGTCTGGGAGGGCACGAAGGTCCTCTCCGCTCCCTAGGGCTTCCTTCCTGTCTTGGGCCAAGTGGGGCCCGTATAGTTGACGAGGCTATGCTCCCTTACGTTAGCCACCCCTGGTGTAGGCCCCGTCACCACCCCCCTATGCGAAAATTAAATTAAAAAATACTTGGAAATTTTTAAAAAATCTAAAATATTGGGATATCAAACTTGGGTGCCCAATCTACTCCCGTATGAAGTTTCACAGAAAAATACCATAAAATGTATCCGTGGCGAAGAAAATTCAGTCTGAACTGAAAACCATCCAAACAGTTTTTCTATACATAGGATATTTTGTCTTTTTTTTGCCACGAACACGTTTCCTGCTATTTTTTGACGAAACTTCACAGACGATATATTGGGCTCCCAAGTTTCGTATGCCAAAATCCCAGGTTTTTTTTTATTTTCACGGTATTTTTTGAACTTAAAGTTTATATAGGGGTGTAGAGCACTCAGGTGTT